CCTTCCTCTTCCTTCCTCCTCTCTCTCTCTCTCTCTCTCTCTCTCTCTCTCTTTGTTCCTTCACCTTCGGTTTGTTTGTCCTGGGGAAAATCGTGGCTACGACTAACGAGTAAATAGGATTCCGTCGAGAGTCGAGGTGAAAGGTTCTGAAACGAAGAGAACATTAATCGAAAACATCCCGAGAACGAATATTTCGTGTTGTTTATTTCTATTAATCGCCGCTATTTCAACCTTGCAACGAAAGGTGAAAACGTGAAGTCGCGCGAGTCGAAGAAGAAGATAAATAGAGAATGATCGACGAAGTCGACGAACACTGGTTCCACCTTCGCGCCCGACTCGAGACGAAACGAAACGAGAATCGTGGATAGAAACGTGGAGAGGAAGAAAGGAAGAGAGGTAAGAGGAGGCACGTGGCGGCGGGCAGAAACAAATATAGTGGCGCGCGACTGTGAACTTACGAGTGTAGTGGCGGCGAGAGAGAGATGTGTACCTGGCGGAGAGCGAGGCTCGTTTGAGGACCACGGTGAAGGAGATCCCGATGTCTTAGTCTCCCCGGCACGAAGGGGGACGAAGGCGAGCATGTGTGTGCCCCATCGAGAATCGAGCAGCCTCGCAGGCCTCGCCTCCCAGGTGGGGCAGGTTCCATTTGCTCCGCGAATCCCACGCAGCCTCGTACTACGCTCTCGAAAAACCGAACCGTCTATCCTGGACGCGAGGATACGCACGCAATGCGTACGATTGCGCAATCGATCGGGACGGATCGTCGTCTGCCTTCGACGATCGAACGTTATTGCCCGTGCGTGTCTCAAAATGATGGGGAAGGGAGGGGGGAGGGGGGGGGAAGGGCAGAGAGTCGGGGGGAGGAGGAGGGGAAATCGAAAAGGTCAGAATTATTGGGTGGTGTGAAAGTAAGAAGAGGCGCGTGATGGAATCGAACGCGGATGAACAGCGCGCCTCCAGCGGTTAATCGCGTAATTGCGTAATGAATTTTCGACAATCGGCAATTTTCGTTTAATAAACTCCCTCCTTTTCCAAGCGATACACACGCGTATATCGATAATTAGAAAGGTTAAATAATAATTCTCGGATAAGTCTCGTCGTGGTGGAACGAAAGAAGACAGTTTTCGATTACAATTCTAAAGCGGATAGCCGTATTGCAATTTATTTTTCAATACGAAGGTGCACGCTTCGACGTCGCTTTCTCGCTATATTATCTCACACCACGTCACGAGCCGTCGTAACGTTAACCATCGTTACGCAACTGCCGGTTTCTCCAAATTGGATCACTCCTCCTTTCTCCGTGTTCTTACCTCGTATATATATATTACACCTTCGAGACGGGAATCTTTCGATCGTTCGAGAAAATCCTCCTCGCGTTCGATCCTTTATCGACGAGGAGAGGATGCGGCTCGATTTATTCTACCTTATCTCGACTCGAAACGAGTGGCCGCGCGCGATCTATAAACTTTCTTCTCTCGGCCACGACGAGAGAAGGAAGACGAATCGATGCCCATCGATCGAGAATCCATCGGTTTTGTTCGAACGTTCGACCGTTGTTCACCGATCCATTTCGATCGGAATCGTTACGACCTCCGCTTTCACCTTGACCATACACTTGAACCTCTCGAGATTTTTCACCTTTTCTATCGTTGAAACCTATCTATCCGATACGTTTTAATTAAAAGCAGCTCCCCATTCCTCGCCAGTGGAAAGAAACTTTCGTTTCGTCACAGTTTGTTCCTAAACCAGAGTCGATCGAGTGGAATTGCAGCCGGGATCTTCGCCGCGAAATTCGAAAGCGCGATTCGAAATGCGGGCCACGAACGAGACGGAAAGGATCAAGGACGTAGTTTCCTCGTTCCAGGTCGAGGAATGCATTTGCCGAGACAATTACGGCGATCGTCATCGACGCAATTACTTTCGCGACTATCTCTTTATTTTTCGATCGATTTGCGTTGCAAAATCGGCGAATCTCGTTTCCTCGACGGTCTCCTCTTCGAGTTGCGAGAAACAACAAGTCGACGCCGTGAACTATGACCACCACGAGAATCCTATTAAACCCGATTCAAGGTGATCCTCCTTGAGTTTCGAGGAGGACGTGGTCGAGAAGGATCGTGCGACAGAATTATGCAAATTGAAGTGGGTCGCCTAATTTGCGTAACCGTGATCTTGGATCGAGGTCTCGAACGATTCTTTTTTTTTTTTTTTTTTCTTTTGATTAATAATGCTCATCGCGTACAAGAATTCTGCGTGTCGCACAGGAACCGTGTTCTCCGTTCACGGTCGAGAAGCGGCGCTTTGGTTTTACACGTGTACGATCGAAACAAGTTTCGCAATCGATGCACGGAAACGAGATTTCTGATTTATGGATGTAATCGAAATAACTTTGTTACATCACGTGTTTTCTTTTCTCTTAAATAATAATTCAAATCCTAATTAAATCCGCTCGTTTCCAAACGACTCGTTTTCAAATTCGTCGAACGCTTCTTTCGCGTAGATTCTCGCTGGATTTCTACAACCGCGTCGAGAACACGGTTTACTGGCTCGAGTACATCGTTTCGTTCTGTGGAAAAAACGAGTAACAAAGTGCTACTTTTCGAAGAATTTTGAAAGACGCGCGTTCTAAAAGGATAATTTAGGCGATCATCCTTTCACGTTCGCGAAGGAATTCCAAGGCGCGGCTTTCGTGCAATGGAAATTGCGATTTTATCGGGCTGATAAATCGCCGCAACCGCGCAACAATTGTGTCATTAATCCGATTGAAAATAACGAAAAGTTTCGAGTTAAAAGTTACCTCGAGTTGAATTACTTGTTATTAAAATGCTCGCGTGACGTTTATTCTGTTATAATCGATCCGCTCCACGATCCATTATTACCACGCTTTGAATAACAAATTATCGAGATAATTTGAAACTTCGAGCCGTTAAATTTTGCTCGCACGTAAGGCGAATTTTAATTGGAAAGGAAACGAAGATTCTTAACCAATTAAAAATGAATTGTTAGGAATTATTAAAAAAAATTTACGCACGTAAATTATTTTATCGCCGCCTATTTAACGACGAGGGAAACGATTTTTAATTGTAATCGTTGAAACTCGTTGACTCGTGGAATTAGCAAGTAGTAGAGCCGTTTTTATAAGCGTACGGTTGCTGTTCATCTTCGTTTGTTGTCGCGTGGTGCCACATAGCGTTCGTGCATGTAAACGCTCGAGCTACGTTATCCACGGTTAAAACTTGGCAAAAAAAAAAAAAAAAAAGAAAAAAAAAATCGAAAGAACGAAACGAAATGTTTTGTTACTTAATATGAAACGATAATTTTTCTAACGGAATACCAGGATTGAACCCCGTGCCAATCGCATAAATAAGAAAATAAATAAGAATAGAGGAATTAGGAAAATAATGACGAGACGAGAAAATTCATATCTCCTTTTCCCTTTCAGATAAGAGAAAATACGATGGATAAAAGATAAAAAGTGGAAAGTGTACTAATAAGAAAAGAAAATATAAGTAAAAAGAGAGAAAAGAAGATGGAGAAACCGGAAGAGTACGTACACGTACTTACGCAACGCATAATTTATATACGCTCATTTGACCAGACCAGTTGATAATCCTTATAGAAAATTGCTTGGGTTTTGAAAGCTGAGAGGACACTTCTTTTTTTTTTTCGGCTTGGATGAAACGCGTGACACGAGATGTATATCTGGTGACACTTACGCAATATACTCGCCAGAAGTATAAAAAAGAAAGCGGATGTTCCGGTTTCTTTCGTTTTTTTTCTCTCGTTATATTCTCTCGTAATACGTTACGAATATCGAACGGGAAACGTTTCCTTAAAAACGTATTCACGAACGCGTAAATTCAC